TGCGGCGCCCGGGGAGCAGTTGGGGGTTTGGTGCCTTGCTCAAGGGCACCTCAGTCGTGGTATTGAGGGTGGGAGAGAGCGCTGTACATTCACTCCCCCCACCTACAATCCCTGCCGGTACAAGACTCGAACCCGCAACCTTTGGGTTACGAGTCCAACTCTCTAACCATTAGGCCACGACTTCCCCAACTACTTTAACTGGGGAATTAACTACTTTAATAACAGCGTTCATTTCAATCTGACATTCAAATTAAAATATTGAATAATATTCATAACAGAAGCGGTGTTTCCCCACAGACCCACAGACTTGCACTCTATTTGTGGCGGCATATATATGCAAATTCATTCTCTGCCAGCAGGAGGCGCTTGTAGAGCGGGAGAGATAGGCCCCGATCACACCGAATGCGTTTTTTTCTGAAAACACGAGGCGCACCGCACTGCCTTTTTTTTGGTGACTTTTAAAAAAGAGCAGTGCCCTGTGTTTTTTTTATGTTGCTAGGCAACCACCAAATCAGCTGTCCTGTCAGTCTAATCAAAGGATTATAGCGCAAGCGCTTTAAAATCTTTGGTTTTTGCTGTTAAGCAAACTGTCATATTAACAGAAATCCTAAAAAATACTACTCCGGGTAACCCACGACAGACACCAAAAGTTTCTCCTCCAACATAGCAGTCTCCGGACTTTATTTCTAAGCAACAGTAAACTTTCGTCATCACAACGGAAGGCCCGCCTCTCCGTTCATTCGATTGGACAATGGAAAAAACGCAAAGGACGTCGGGCGTTTTTTCTGCTCAGAGTTAATTTTTTTTCCAACTTCAGGCGCTCAGAACGCTCCTGCAAAAACGCGAGGCGCAGCAGGCGGCGAAAATGCGAGGCGCACAAGGCGCATAAACAGCACGCAGAACGCTCACTGCCATCCGAAAACAATTTAAAAAAAAGGCGCCTCTCACTGCAAAAAACGCGTTCTGTGTGATCGGGGCCATAGAGGTTTCCCCGGTAACAGCTGTAATCAAATAAGCGCTGCTCTCACAAACGCTGCTCAGGCATTACAGGCAAGATGAAATGAAAATGACATCCATAATTTTCTGAAGACAGTCGGTT